ATTTGCATTCAAGCAAAACATTATCTAAGAAATTAAAATCTCACTAAACCCTAACCCATATATATTATATATATATATATTTCATAGATAGACAAAAATGTAAATTCTTACCTTCAACCATCTCCACATTTCAGCTTGTTTGAACAACCCAGCAAGAGTAGCACTGTCGACATTGAAAGGTAAGTTTCCATGAAGAGTTTGAGAGCAGAGAGAAACTGGGTTCCTCTGCATCACTCAATAGGTCCTCTTGCTCGTACTCAAATAAAACCGCGATGTTTTGTACGAACTTGGAAGGCGAGAAGGCTGCTCGATGCCGCCGCTACTGCTCGATGCCGTCGTTTGCCGCTCGCCGTCGTCTGCCGCCACTCGCCGGAGAGAGAGAGAGCCGTAAGAGAGGAATAGGGATTTTTGGTTTTTGAGATTGGGGATTTGGTTCAAGACGTTGGAGAGGGGGGAACCTGAGCGGGGGGAACCTGAGCGGGGGAAAATCGAGGGGAATATAATATTAATATATATATATTTTTTTTTTTTTGGTTTCCGTCACAAATAACCTTGCATCAAAATTCCAACTGTGCAAAAAGTTATGCCTGTTTTGGTGAAGCCGCTTAGTTTCGATCCTACCCGGATATATGCCGAACTTCTCCTCAACTAGTTTTCTTCTCTCTTCCCTCATTTTCTTCAACTTCAAATCCCTAAACAAGGTGTTTTGAAAGAATTTTCAAAGATTTCATCTCTCTTTCATTCATTTCCACTTTGTCCTTACTCGGTTTACCGAAAAGCGCAACATTTAATGAAATGCGAGTTTCGGAACATCGTAAGAACCTATTTTCAAAAACTATTTTGAAAGAGAGGGTTTCAAGGTCTAATATCTTTTGATCAAGTTTGTTTTTGTCCAAAAGGGTTTTGAAGTTGGGATTTGACTCTCTCCTTGCCGAAGAAATCGAACATTTGCCCTGCACAACTTTCACCACCAAGTAGACCATCAGTAGTGCCCAAGTCTTAAAGGGCGGTCAAAAATGGGGTGTTTATAGGCATCTATCCTTCCATACCTGAAGGTCATCCTCGTTGTAATACCCGCTTTGGTCTATTTTGTTTGGTACGTCGCCTTCTTGGCCGACATCCTTTCCTCCGTGATTCTTATCACAAGTCTCTTCGTTGCAGTTGTCTTCTTCGATGTCAAGGTCAACAGGTTTCTCACTCCTAGTAGGACTGTCATCCCCAATCTTCTCTTTCTGTCCGTCGTTAGCCATCTATTCTCCTTTCTTTCCCACAAATGCCGCCAAATTGTGTGAGTGAATTTTTGACCACACTGCCAACTTAGTATTCAACTGGAGAGCACTGGCGGAATAGATGGTGCCTAGATGACCTACAACAGAAAGAAGAGATTCTGGCGGTGGTTCGTCCACCCAGGGGCACTCCGATGATCAAGTTAGTTATCTCTCAAAGATAAAAAAAAGTGTTCAATTCACTATTCAGAGTATAAAAAGCGTACCTTAAACCCATGGGGGTGCCTCTCTTTTATCGCCAACACTTACCTAATCCCAATAGAAGCCTAGCTTCAATGGACTTAGGATTACTGCTAATCTTGGACCCCTAGTAGGATTGGGATAAACTCTCTAAGAATCTTATCTTTACCCAAACTGAAGTCTCCTGTTATTCTAGGACTCTTGTCCTCTATCTGCTTATCCTGGATTCTGATATCTTCGGAGATAACCTCAGCCTAACCAAGATAACCTCAGCATCATGACCTGGACACGTGGCATCTCGGCTGACACTTCGGCGTCACCTTGGCCACGTGTCGTTTACTCAAAAAATATGTCCCCATAATAACCAACAAAAATGTAAGCTTGAAAGAAGCTTTGCATGCCGTCAATATCAAAAACATCAATGCATTAATGAAATAGAATTTGACAGCAAAAGAAATACACATATAAGAAGAACAAAATATCAAGGACAAGAATATAGAAATGTGCTTAATTCAATACCTGGCTGTAGTTGGACCGTATAGGCTCCAATTCAGCAGTAGGGGGAGCAGCTTCGATTTTTGCTAAAGATGCATATCCAAGATGAGTGGCAGCCCATCGCAAAAATCTACGAAGATCATGCTTACTAATACTTCCAATTGTTATATCTGCTGAACTGTAATCATATTGAAAAAAAAAAAAAGAGTAAATAATAATAATAATAATGCAGTTCTCATAAGGAAAACAAGTAAATTACAGATAAAGGCTACTAACAAAAGAAAGATGGAACTAGATGCAGTGGAAAAACATAAAACCAAGTTATTTATCGACACCCATTATGAGTTAAACAAACATAATGGAAAAATGAATTGAGTAAACCATTGAAGAATATCCCCAAATTATTCCCATATGTAACCCAACTGCATGGAGTCATATATAAACTATTCTTTTTTATACATTAAATAACTGGTGTCATCGAGGTTAGCAATACAAAAAGGTAGTTTGCTCAAGAACCAAAAATATGCTATATCAAATACCTTTGTTAGGTAACCACGCAATCCTTCATCCACATTGGAGCTACCTAGTACCAGATAAAAACCTGGCTTGTTAAAAACCTGGCTTGTTATGAACCCAAGGCATGAGGGATGCCAACATAAATGCTAGCACCATTCTTATTCAAGCTTGAATGTTTTGCAACCACAAGTTTTCAATGTTTGATCCCCCATCTACCTGTGGAAACACAATCAGCTCAAAACATTTACTCAAAAAGCTACCATTCTAATCAATATGATACTGGTTGCACCCAGTTGGCCATTGAATTACAATGCATTCAATCCTCATCAACAAAACGGGAAATAGAACTAATCTTAAATTTATTAGAATAGATAGATAGTAGATACATGCCAATGCCTAGATTCTAGTCAAAATCTACAATCTAGTGCATCATATGAGAAAACAAAT